AAAACCAAAAAAAAAAAAAAAAAAAAAATGAATATGCTAATGAAAGTAAAGATTTAGTCAAGAAGAAGAAACTTATAATATTGTAGCTGCTCATGGTTATTTTGGTCGATTAATCTTCCAATGTGCTAGTTTCAACAACTCTCGTTCTTTATATTTCTTCCTAGTTGCTTAGCCTGGAGTAGGTATTTAGTTCATTGCCTTAGATATTAGAACTATTAGAACTATGACTTTCAAGTACTACAGTAGCTAAGGATGACATATGGCAATGACCTATAACAGTATAAAATGTAAAAACTTGTTTCCAAATTTCTGGAGAAAGAATTTTATTTTCTGAATATATAGAAATGAAGATTCAAACAACATTTGAATGTTTAAACTAGTTGAGTTATTACTGACTACGTGGCAAATATAAATAATAAACATCCATTTGTTTATTTCACATACGACAAACATAGGGGTGTTAATTGTATGAACAAAAGAAGGTAGTAAAAGAAGGGGGCATTTTAAGATGGGTCAAATCCAAGCCAAATAGAATATTTTCCTTCTTACTATTAACGTTGAGAATATGGTTCCAACCCATCATGACGTGAATTCTTTTTCTTTTTTTAAAATAAAAATAAATAAAGAGAGAAAAAGTAATAAGAAAGAAGAGAGGAGGGGAGTAAGGAGTCTCATGAGTCATCTCGTTCTCATTATCCCAAAGATGTATATATAAAATTTGGGGATGGAAAAAAAAGATGAGGATCTCAAACAAACAAATGGCAGCCGACCAAAACGCTAAGGCACCATTCTTTTTTCTTCTTTGGTTATAATACCTCACAAAGCAAAAAGGGGTTTTCAATGGCATCATTTTGGTCCCACTTTCTGTCCCTTCTTTGCTTAATCAAACCCCACTAAAACAAATCAAACAACAGCTGTACGATTTCAACCCAGATTCCTTCTTGCTTCACAATAACTCCAGCTTCAATTATTAATTTCATTCCGAGAAAGCTATATTATTATAATATATAAAAACTAATTCAAGCATAAACCAATTAGCTAAGATATATAAGTCTGAGGTTTGAGTTCCTCCACTCCAAATGTGTCATTTATAGTAATTAATATTACTTAATTAGTTTCTATTTTTACCATACATCATCTCGATATAAAAATCTCACCAGTAAAATTGAGTTTTTAAGTTCCATAGATAATAATATTAAGAGTTTTAAAAAGTGAAATTCTGAAAAAATGAGAATATTAAATGTCTTATGAGAAGAAACAAACAGACCCATAGAGTTGATACTAAATTTGAGAGGTAAAAGGATTAGATTGAAAAAAGAAGTGGTTAAAAGTTGAAGGACCAAGGGGACCAAAATAGAATAAGGAAAAAGTTCAAGGACCAATAGATGTAGCGCACGACCAACTTTGCCTTACTAAAAGTTCCATTAAGACACTCACTATCCAAATTCATTGAAAGAGAACCCTGAAATCTTTTCTTATACATCATCATCAAGCTTAACTTCAGCAATAAACGACAATCAATAGTTTCTCAGGAGAAAAAGAAAGACTAGCAAAAGGGAATATTATAAATCAGTACAGCGAAGACGATGTATAGCACAGGTAAAGCAAACACTAAAAAGGAGATCAAATGGTAAAGGGCTCCTTTCAGAGTTGAGGTTCATAAATGAATAAATGACACAAAGGCCAAGAGAGAAAGAGAGAGCAAATTGTGGAAGTTGGGGACAACAAAAAACACCTAAAAATAAGGGAAAAGCTTTGAATTGCTGCTACTACTACGATCATTAAGAACCATCTCTCACCAATAATTTTGAAGGTTTTCTGGCATTCCAACCCTTTGTCTGGTGCAATTATTGGAAAGGATCTGTGCAATTTAAGGTAGGTGCTTTGTTGGGTTGCAGTTTTAATAACAGAGTTTCTTTTTTTACTTCTTGCGTGTAGTGCAAGCATGGAGGTGGGATTGATGCAGAGACAATGGGTCGAGTACACGAAGTCGCTATTCTTGGAGGTATGAATGAACAAAAACAAAGATCAAATCAGAGATGGGTTTTGCTTTTGTTGTTTGGTTTTTTGGTGTTTTTTTCTATGTTGGGGAGAGTGGGATTTCTTGTTTTGTCGTCTCGTTGTTAGATGAGAAACGATATGATATTAATCAAAAGAAAAGATGATGGCCTAAGGGTCAGGGTAGAGAGAACCACCTCCCCAAGAACAACTATAAGAAAGCATTCGAGTTGTTAACCATCGTGGAAAGGTTGTAGTTACAAAAGAGTTTCCTATGAGTATAACTCAACCAAGAGGAAGTTAACTGTGTCCAGTTCTTATACATTTCTTGTTTTGTGGTCTCAAAGTGATTCTTGAATTTGGTTTTCTGGTGTTTTGTCCTTGTTGGGGAGGGCTAGGATTTCTTGGACAGTCAGTTTATAGAGCTGCAAAAACTGCAAGATGAGGGCAACCCAGATTTCATTGCTGAAGTGGTGTCTCTGTTCTTCGAGGATTCCGAGAGGCTACTCAATGATCTCACCGCAGCATTGTGAGGCTTCTCGAGGCTTATAATCTATGAGTTTCTTTGTTTTGAATGAGTTTTCCCGGAATTTTTATGGGGTTTTCTTTTTTCTTTCCCTTACCTTTTTTCAGAGCTCAACCTGACGTGGACTTTCAAAAGATTGATGGCCATGTTCATCAGCTTAAAGGAAGCAGTTCTAGGTAGGCATAACACTTCAAGGAAGCCTCTTTAGTACCTGCTTTTCCTTATATCCTTGTGCTAAAGAGCTTTTGGGCTTGGGAGCTATTTTGAAAAATAGTCTTATGGATTTATTTTGTAAGAATTTTCCTAAAAAGAGGAAGGCTATTTTTCATAATAGCTCCCAAACAGCCAGTTTTCCTAACTTAAAGCATAGGGTGAATAAAGTTTTCATTTACAGCTCGTGATGGGCTCTCTCTCAGATCTATGTTCCAATTCTAAAAGAGAACTAAATAGTAATCTAAAAAAGATGATCAATTTTAGAACCGAAAATCAACTGAATGAAGAATTCTGTAACTTCTGTGATTGACAGCATAGGTGCACAGAGAGTTAAAAATGTCTGTATTACCATGCGCAGCTTCTGTGAGGAACAGAACATTGAAGGGTGAGTTCTTATTTACTTAAGGCTAAGCTGGGTTGTTATGATGCTTAGGTTCAAGTAGGGTTTCGATTCTTGAATTTTACCTAGGTCCCTAAATTTTTGAAGTTCATTCTTGGAACTAGAGCTTTTATCTACTTTCTAATTTGGTTTTCTTTAACATTTATAACCTCAATGTTTTACCATGAAATACTTTCATTATTATCAAACTTTTTTTTACAATTATTTTGGTCCCAGAGTTGCTAAAAACAAAATCAAAAGTTTTTCTAGGTGAGCTCCTGCAACATATGTGCGATAGTGAAAACAATGAAAATTGTGGGTGCAGGTGCCTAAGATGTCTGCAACAATTAAAGCAAGAGATCTGCCTCGTGAAAAACAAGCTTGAGAATCTATTCAGGGTCAGTACATAAGACTGTTATTATTATTATTATTCTTATTTTGGGTAAGAAACTGAGAATTAAGAGAAACGAAAAAAAAAAATGTACAAGAACAGACAAAACAGTACATAGACTATT